GCATGTTCTTGTCCTTTCTTCGCCTTTGTTTTATTTGATCATGTTGACTGTGCTTAGCACTTACTTCCTCGCTTTCCATCCTGTTTGCTGATCTGCCGGTAAAGAGTTTTCTGGTTACTTCTTCCAATCACCCAACCAGCACTTGTTTGGCAGTCAAGTGTTCACAATCTGAACAATCTTGTTCAAAATTTTCCTAATCAACTTGTAAAAATTCTTGAGTTGCTATTCAATAGTTCTTGAATCGGCCATAACTTCTAACTTCTAGCCTTATGCGCCAACTATAACACTCATAACCAAACAAATAAAGCTCCTTTCTAGAGCATCCTTTTCATACCTTTCATTTCAAAGAACAAAATTAGAGCTCCTTTCCAGAGTATCCTTGCTTTCTGTGACCCAACTCCCAAATGGTGCAGTCACTAATAAATGATTACCGTTTGAACTTAGTTTTGTATTTGGCCTTTGGACAATAGGTGTGAGCAACAAAGAAGCATGGCCTAATCTAGGTTAGTATGAGACTCATTAGTACAACATATGACATTTTTTCTTCTTCTCTATGAGCAAGTGGAACGGAACCAATGGAGGGATAAGGATTGAAGAGAAGACGAGGGATCAAGTTGACGACACTGCACTTGATTGGTTGAAATTAGAATGGTTTTTCAACTGCAATACAACTAATCTAGTGGAGGATATCATTTATGTTCTAGTATGTAAGGTGACTGATGGATACATGTTGGCTATATTAAATAAAAAGAGGAGGGGTGGGGGGGGGGGGGGCGGTCGTTTCCTGTCCTTGTCTGTTATCATCATTTAATTATTTGATAATATATTTGAGAATTTTTCAATACTTGATTGTGTGATTCAATCAAATTTTAGATATGATATTAACATATTTATCCCCAAATCCATATATAAACAAATTAATTTTAGTTTGTATGATATCAAAATTGCTAGATTTTAGAGCCCTAGATCTAGTTATGGGTCCGTCTACCTTGAAACCTGAAATGGAAACTCTAGAATGTTTTTGGTTTCTCCTGACTTTGCAATCTATTTAT